TCTCTCTCTCTTTTTTTTTTAAACTTTAAACTTGCCTGCTTTTCCTTTTTTCTCATGTTAACCACAATCACATTTTTCCCTAATTTGTGTAGTACCTCATACCAATTAGACACATACTGTTCGTTTACATGTTTTGCTTTGAGCAGCCATGTTGTGGAGAAGGCGCCTGGTTGGTTCATCTGTTTTCTGCCCCATAGATATTGTTGTTATTGTGTGCCCTCTAGTGACAAATATTTTCCAACAAGTAGTTCAGTGTAGGTTTATTTTATACATGCACTACTATAAAATAAATACTTTTATTCAACAATATGCACCAAAAAGTGATAAAATCAAATGCAACAATAAAGACTTTTATATTGTTAAAAAAAACCATTTATCTTTTCAAATCTAAATATTAGATTTCATTTATTTCATTTCATTTCATCTAAATTTCATTTATCTTTTGATAGTACTAAGAAATGTTTCTTAAAGGGTTGTTGAAAATTCTACTATGCCATCATAGGAATCAATTACATTTTAAAATATACTAAAATAGCAAAATATTATTATTTAAATAATAGTTTGAGTATTGTTATTTTACTGTATGTTCGGTCTAAAACAATTAAGCCTTGGTAAGCATAATCTGAAAAGCCTCAAACTGTCTGTTTTATCTTTTTTTTTTTTCAGACTGCTGTAAATCTACAGTGCATTATAAAAAGCAGATATGTGCAATTAGTACTATGAAATAATGTTATAATTATTTGAAATGAGCTAAAATATTTTTACCATTGTGTATTGACCAGCCGGTAAGTCCGGAACAAATTTCAGATAGATACTTGTCTTTTAAAAAGACAAACAATGTGCATTTAAGTTGTTGTTGTTGTTTTGTTAGCCGAAGAAAAATACTGGACATCGAAAAAAGCACTTTCATACCTCAAAATTATTATTTTTTTCGTTACTCTTTGTCTCATGTAGAAATTACTTTACAAATCACATAATGATTTAAACAACATTGTACTAAAGAACACTCTATTCATGTGTTTTTGTATTTATTTATTTTTTTTCCCTCAGCATTGATAAAATCTCTAAAGTCACCTCTCCGGTGCTGGTGATCCATGGTACGGAGGACGAGGTGATTGATTTTTCCCATGGACTGGCCCTGTACGAGCGCTGCCAGCGGCCCGTGGAGCCGCTGTGGGTAGAGGGTGCGGGACACAATGACGTAGAGCTGTATGGACAGTACCTAGAGCGCTTGAAACAGTTTGTGGCTCACGAACTTGTAAACTTATAGATGGACCTCAAGATCAGGACTCGCCATACTTGATGAACATGCCCCTGGTGCCCAGCAGGCTACTGTGAACTTAACAACGGTTTTCTCACCTGTGTTTTTTTTTTTAGTTATTTTTCTAATTAAGTTGCACTTCTCCACAGATAATAGGAGATGTGCCTTTACTGCCTTTCTTAGGGGTGTGTTTGTGTAACTGTACTTCTACCGGTGTGAGCGGAGGAGTCGGATGTTTCGGCTCTGTGTCTTGATACTATGTACTAAAGAATCAAGCCCATTCCATAAATCCAGGTTTTGTTTTGCTGTATGCATGTAATCATGTACACAATGGAGTGCTGTACAAATGTAACATTCTGACACAAATAATTAATTGCCATACAGGTGATGCCAAATAATATATTAAACTCTGATACGTTACTTTGTATGTACATGTTTCTAAAACATACCTGCAATGTGTACAATCTATATGAAATTTCAGTATGTTTTTTTTTTTTTCTCCATGTACTCGCACTTGTCTGTGTTTTGTGTATTCTCTGTCCTAGACCTTTAAAACAATGCTGGACAATATGACGGTAATATCTGTTTTAACTTTCAAATAAACAAATAAATAGACTTTTCAAATAAAGAGACACGTTTGTGGCTTACAATAGCCCAAAGCAAACACATACCTGCTCAAACAGCATTAGTGATATTAGTAACAATCCAGTTGTTATCTACTTTTGCACTTTTTGTTAATGGAAATAATCCATCAGAACCCTCTCGTTTACACACACACATACACACTGAACTTAACTCTTGATTCTGTTTGGAGTCATTGCTTTGACTTTTATTCAAATGTAATTTATGCCATCTTGTGTCTCAGATGAAATGCACACAACTTTTGTAGTTGTTGTTTTGCGCCATGATAAGGCTGTTTCTTTGGACACTGCTGCTGAATTTAGGCAGTGACATTTAGTTTCTCTTTAGAGAAGCACTGGACACGGTGATAAGGAAGGATGCGATTTAATGTCTGTACATAGAAACTGAACAATGCTCTAAAGTAGATCTTAGTACTTCTCAAATGTAAAAGAGGACTGTCACCCTGTTCCACTTTGTAAATAACCTTCGTTTGGATGGTGTTTTTTTAATTTCCTGAATGACTACTATGAAACTGATGATAATGTTATTACCAATGTAAATTGAATTATTATATTATGTATGGCACAGAATAGATTTTAACTGGTCAGACTGAAGCACAAACTTACGTGCTTCAATTTTTCCAGACATGTTTTTCTGTTTTTGTAAACACCCGTTGTAAAAGAAAATTGCTATACTGTATGTAATTATGATCTTGAATAGTTATAATACAAAATTGGAAGTAAACATGTATTTCAGAGACTAAAGAGCTAAAAGAAATAAAATCCAGTTGTGGTAGTATTGACTCAGAAGTTTTGTTATGTGTGCTGATCTGCAACATGTTGCTAATAGCTTTAGTGTTTTAAAGCGACCTCTTGTGATAAATCAACAACATTTTCTTTTAGAAAAGACTACATCCTACATTTACAGTCCTATCTGTTTAGTAACCATCGTGGTTCCCATTAGGATTATCAGGGCATAGATCTTAAGTGAAGATGGAATGTCTTTATAATAAAGCTCTTTATCTTACTAAATCGCAAACAGAACTAGAGCTATATTTTGACTCATCTTTCTGAGAGGCATGCATTTAATTAACTCAACAGTTAAAGTGAATTGCTTTTAACAGTGATCCTAACCTCTCATATGTATTCACTTTTCAAGCCCAATTTACTAGCCCAGAGGTCATCCGCACCTTCTGGGTTCAGTGACCTTTGAAGCCCAGGGCCTTGAACATGGAAGTTACGAACACATGTAACATTATTTTTATGATGGGGCAACTAGGCACTTAAATGGGTTCAAACTCAAAGGATGAGAACCGAAAACAGGAAAAGACAATAAAGATGTTTCTATATAGAGACTTATTATAAAATACTATTGATTTAACATTACATAATATAACGTTTTAATTATTAGACATTGATGTTTATTATGTCACCAAATAATTTAAGGTTAAATCTCGTTTAATGGTTAGGATGAGAATTAGGCTTCATATTGGCATCATGTAGTTAAAACCCTTTCCTTCTCTCCCTATAAATGTTAATTCATGAACCAGTACAGAATCTAACAATGTTCGATGTTTTTTTTGTGTTTTTTTTTTACTTTCCCAGCCTGCGTGTCATGTGCACACCATAGGATTCCTATTGGGCTGCAGCGATGCTCACTCATAAGTTTTCTATGAGACAAGCAGTGCATGGGGAAATCATTGGTTGTCATTAAAAATGGAGACAATTCCTCCTATAACCCAACAAGATGTCCTCTTTTTTTAAGTGTGATTTAAATTCATCCTTCTCTGATGTTGTAAATTTTGTTTTATTGATGGGTAAATATCATATCCATACTTGTAAATGGAAAAAATGTAAGCCCTCCTTCAATATATCTTTATGTGAATTTGCTAAAATGTTTCAGAGCTTCAAATGCTTCAAAAAACATAATAGAAAATCTGAAAAGTTATGCTTCTCTTTGTCAAAATATGTATTACTTTAATATCTTTTTTCGTTATAATGTCTTCATCGACTACATCTTTGTTTTCATCCTTGCTCCTTGTGTTTATTTATTTATTTATTTTTTATTTTTTCTTCTTCTTCTTCTTCTTCTTCTTCTTTAATGCAAACTCTGTGTTTGTCTCAATGGAAGTGTCTTACATTGTTGGTTGTTCCCTGTCTTGCTATGTACGGTACATTAAGCAATAAAAAGAAGAAGAAGGAGAAGAAGAAGAAGAAGAAGAAGAAAAAAAGCAGTGCATGGGGGCTCAGGAAGGCGAATCCTCTATTGAGTCGCATTTAAAATCTCAGGACGAGTTCAATCGTGTCGGAGACATTTGTACAATAAAAAGGGAAATATTTAAATGTTTTAAATTCAAAGATTTGGTCAGTTCTTGCCAGCGTTGAGAAAAGAAGCAAGGGAAGACTGAGTCATTTCTCCGAATCGATTCTTTTGAACAGTTCTTTTTTAAAAGAACTGAATGATTCCGTGATTCCTTACGTCAGAACGCGATTACGTAATAACGTGGTCTCTGAATTCTTAGCATGGCATAGTACTTGCTCTAAAGAATATATGGATATATAAAAATATAGACAGGCATATATTGCTATTCATTATGGGTTTTTCGATTATGAGCCAGATTCAAATTCTAATGTGTATTTACATTAACAATATTAAACTTCTTTTACATTTCTCCGCATGCTGTTATTTACTAATACCAACTGTTCCAATAAATATTACTACAGTACTAACTACATACTACATTACCCCCATCAATCTTCCGTTCTCTGCTCACTTCTCGGTTTCTTTGTGCATCCAAACTGAGTCAGTTCCCGTCCAGTTTGTCACTCGGTTCATTTAAAAGATCCGACTCACAAGAACGATTCGTTCACGAATTGGACATCACTAGACAAAAGTAACACTTTTCACACGACACAAGACCCCCTATGTGCTTCTTCAGCAGCTGATTATACTGTATACGACCATAAGCTTCACAATAAACTGAATTCATAGTTTCAAAAGCCGGTAATCCCCGCCCACCAGAGAACTCTTTTCATGCTAATGGCTCTTCCACGCGTTTTTTTCTAAGACGCTCCCTCATTCTCAGTACACGCCTCTAATTTCACTTCCTCCGCGAGCCGCGCCTGGGACGGGGCTGGCTGACTTCAGCCCAGGAAAGAAAACACCATGTAAAAGAAGATTAAAACACATTTTAGTGCGGTCTCCCTGTCAAATAGCCCCCAGAGTTGCGTGCGGCTCTCTACGGTTGATAGAGAAAATAGCGGACGAGCCAAGCAAGTGACAGTGAAAAGAGATCGAAAGGTAAGAGCTCTCCACCTCTGTCTCCTTGTAGGGACCCCCAGTTTAGACCTCTACTGTAGGAAGGTCTTTCAACGGATTTTCAGTCGTGCATTGTGCGTTTACGGCATCTTTTGGGAGATCCGAGTCATGACTGAAAGGAGGAATGTAGTTACGCATGCATCTGAAGTTGATGAAACTTTGTGGCATTGTGTAAACTTTAGAGGGTGGCGATGTAGCGAACCAGTTTCAGTGCCAGCGTGTTTCTGTTCAAACAGTTCAGACAGAACAAATCTTTTATTTATTTATTTTTTTTCTGAGCAAAGCTGAAATTCCAAATGCTGCATTTAAATTTAAATATGGTCATTCAAAAATTATTAGTATTCCTATATATATATATATATATATATAAAATACAGTAAACCAGTAAACCACCTTGTTTGCCAGTCTCCCAACCTCAGACTTGACTTTAAACACTTGTCAGCTGGTCAGGCTGGGAGAACAACTGGCTGGCTGGCTATCTAAACCAGCTGAAGACTAGCTTGGCCAGGTTGGGAGACCATCTTAGTCTGGTTTTTACAAGGTTTTTGCATGCATCTGCATCTTCTGTTTCTGCATTTGCAATGTAGGTCATCATAAGAACGTGACTTTATTTTGGTAATTAAGTTTTCGTATCTATGAAAACTTTTCCCAAATAATCATCTGAACATGTTTTAATTATTTTAAGACTTATATTTATTTATACTTTCACTAGTAGACTACACAACCTTTCTGGGTGACCACAGATAAGGCCTGTAAGTTTCTGTCCGTAGGCTGCCATTGTCCACTCGCCCCCTCAGACTAAGGAGATTCATTGCTCATCCCCCTTTAAAATGTGATTTCATTTGTTCAGGGGAGAAACACTGTTTGAAAAGTGGGGGATGGGACACATTAAAGCACGGGTATTGATTATATCCCAAAAGAAGGGGGTGGTGAATGTCCTCCTCAGTTATAGTGATTGCTGTGCCCCTGCGTTTATGGCTGAGGAGCTGCAGATGGCCAGATCGGAATCTGGTGATAGTGTGATCTTTGTGTTGATCAAAGCAACGATGAAATTAGTGTAATAGTACAATAATAAATGAGCTATACGGTTCAACAGGTGATGGGGTCAGTGTGGTTGTTCTATTCTACCCTAATGTTTAAAAGATTAGAAAAGTTTTTGTGATTGATATTTACCCTGAAGAATCGAACTTAAGTTTATAAAAGCATTAGCAACTGTTTGGTTCCATTGAAGCCAGATTGTTTAGATTCTCTATTTGGAACTTTTAAGTCTCTTTGAATGTTAATTACGGAATTTGGCTGAGGTGGTTATTGGTAAGCAAATATTTGTGTGACAGGCTTTTATAGGGAGAGTTTCTTGTTTGCCTGTTGTTTTGTGGCACGAAGGGCCACGGATTGAACGACTGAGCACTTTTTTTCTCGTAATTGGTGCCATGTGTTTTGTAGATAACTTGAAAACGTGAAAACCCACAGAAAGCTTGCACTTCAAAGTACGTTGTCATGCCACTATGAAATTGAGACCCGATCAAAATGAAGTCGGAACAGTTTTATGCCAGTTTGGTTGGCCCACAATACTTGTGAGCTTGATTCTTAATGCCTGTCAAGGTGGTGTAGTGTAGTTTTGTAATATCAAATATATTGTTTCATATTTTGTTATATTTTAAAAAACAATTTTTGCATGCTCTCTCATTGAAAAGGTTAGGGTCTTTTTTATTTTTCAAAGAAGTCAATACTTTTATTCAGCAAGGATGCATTAAATCAATCAAAGGTAATAAATAAATTCTCTTCTTTTGAACTTCCTATTCATCAAATCATATTACAATGATTTCTGAAAGATAATGTGACAGAGAAGACTGAAATGATGGCTGCCAAAAAGTCGCAGGAATGAATGACATCTTAAAATGTATTAAAATAGAAAGCTGTTATTTGAAATTATAATAATATTTCAATCATAATATTATAGTGTATTGTATTTTGATTAAATAAATGCAGCCTTGCTCCTTTCAAAAACATTAAATATAGACCCCAAACATTTAAATGATAGCTTATCTTTTATGGTTTTCTCTTTTTTCCCCCTCGTAGGACGTGGCAGACAGTTATACCATGCAGGTGAATGATGGCCCCAGCAGTCACCCCATTTTTGTGGCTCCTGCCAACGGAAATGCTCAGCGGTCATCAGGATATGTTCCAGGCAGGATTGTTCCAGTTCGTTCTCCACCCCCAGCCAAGTCTCCTCCGCCACCCCCACTGAAGCCCCCGGTCCCGCCCCCTGCACGACCATCGGTTTTTAATCTGTCAGAAGATGAGAGCAGAAGGGAACGTGCCCAAAACCAGCAGAGGAAGAACACTTATATTTGTGTTGGAGTCTTCTTCTGTGTTTTCCTACTGATTCTCATAGTCGTCCTCAGTCTTGCCTCTAAAGATGTGTTGGATGGTAAGACACGATCACCTTGAATGTGTGAGAAATACACTATCATTAAAAAGTTTAGGGTCAGTAAGGCTTTTTTCATGTTTTTTTTTAAAGAGGTCCTATTATGCTCTTTTACAAAGTCTTGATTTTGTTTTGGGGGTGTACTAGAACATGCTCTCATGCTTGGTGGTTCGAAAAACGCATTATTTTTCACATAATTTACATTATTAAAATACCTTTCTCCCCATCCTGGCACAAACGGCTCGATTAGTTCCGGCTTTGATGAAGGTCCGCCTTCCGAAAAACAAAATGTGTTGTGATTGGTTAGCTGTCCCAGTGCGTTGTGATTGGCGAACAGCTTAGACAGTGTTTCATTACTGCCCCGCCCCTTGCTCCGTCTTTCAACAAAAGCTTTTGGCGAATCCGTCACTGTACTCCCTCGTGTTGTGGAAGCTGTAAAATGTGCAGCACACAATAGCAAATTGGGGTTATAATGCTCAGGAACAGAGTTAAAAAATAAATTGCAACCACTGTTTCCTGACATCATCCGCTTTCGGAAGCCCAAACAAAGACGTTTGGGCACGGAGGTGAAAAAAACAGCATTTCAGGCGGTCGCCCACCGGACGAGAAGCGCAGCTTCGCGTCGCGCCACGTCTTTAAAATTCGAATACATTATTTTCTATGAGTGTAGGCACACCGGTGGCGCCGTTCGGCGTCTGTCCGCGGCACCCAGCTACGTCGTGTTGTACTTGTAAGAATTGTTCTAGACATGCCGAAAATTTGACGCTACAGCACAGCAGCTCTTCTTCGTTTTCTCTGATGCACTAACTCTGCAGCAGCACTTCTTCTTCGTCGTCGTCTGATGCACTCTCTCAACCAAGCGTTCTAACCACAACCTCGCCCCTCCCCACCCCCCAACCATTCGTCATATGCTCAACAATGCTGCATTTGTTTAATCAAAAATACAGTATATTGTGAAATATTATTACAATTTAACTGTTTTCTATTTTAATAGATTTATATAATATATTCATTATCACACAATCCTTCAAAAAATCATTCTAATATGCTGATTTAGTTGCTAAAGAACAATGTTGAAAACATTGTGCTGCTTAATATTTTGTTGAAACGGTGATACATTGTTTTGTTTTGCAGAATAGATGTAAAGAAAAAAAGCAGCATGAATAAAATTATTTGTAACATTTTAAGCTGTATAAAGATGTCGAACATGGATGAGGTTTTGCTGAAATTTCAAGAATGGTATCAGGAAGAATGTGTTGAAAACTACAGACCATTCAGTAACTTGCATTGTAGGTCATAGTTTTCCTGCAAAATTAATTTATGGAATTATATAATATTTTATAGTAAAATTTGTAATGGAACATTTTTGTATGACAATAAAAGAAAACTTCAAATTTAATGTTTATTATTACTAAACTATTATTTCTAGCAAAGCAAATATCAATATACAATAATACAAATTTTGATCATTCTTTTGTGGTGGAAAAAGTTAAAATCTGAACTACTGGCTTGGCATAATAGAAAAGAAAACGTTATCGTTGATCCTTATTGTCAATATCAAAACTGTACTCAATCATCTTGTACTCAGACTCTGAAATGCCCTCCTACATCTTTTTGTAGAGGACTGCCCCCATCACAACCCTGTGCTGTGCTCCTGGAAACCTGGCCATGATCTCAAAAAGGTGGTGGTGGTACGCAGTGGTGAGCATTATCGCCTAGATTCATCTGCCACCCTGTACTCTATCACTATCCAGGCTGGAGGTAAGATCATTTGTGCAATGTGTAAAAAATACCTTTGCAAATCACTCTGGCTTGTTAATTCTTGTACATTTCTGTATTACGCTAGTAAAAAAGTAATATATTTAAAATACATGTATTTCATACTAAGTATAGTTTAAATCTATTAACATATGTACTGACGTATCGCTTATAATTAAACTTTATTTGGAATACTATTCGTGCACAATGTACATTTCTTAATATTAAGCCTAAAATGTGTTTTAATGTCACTATTGATGAGGATTGTATGATCTTTGAATAATATCGGTTTGCAAGATATTTAAAGTGTACCTGAAGTTTACTTGAAATAGTTCCACTTTAGCACAATCAAATATACCTCAGTATATCTTTCGTTGGACTTCAGCACTACTTCCGCACAATTAAAGTGCATTAAGTACAAAATTAGTTGTTCCAATTTAGCAGACTTTAAGTGTACCGGTTTAGTATACTAAAAGAACAATTGCAGGGTATTTTTTTATTGGGTATTTAAATATGTAAATGTATTTGTGGTATTAAAATAAATGTATTTCAAATACATTTTAGTATATTTATTTTTCACTAGGGAAAGGAAAATTCTTGAACATTTATTTGGGTTTTAGGTCTTATCTTTGTGCTCATGTCATTCATTTTATTATAGGTTCAGTTGTCTTCGCCGATGATAGAAAAGGCTCCAAAAACATTACATTACGAACACGCCACATTTTGATAGAAGATGGCGGCGCTCTCCATATCGGGGCTCCAAAATGCCGCTATCGCTCCCTGGCTGCCATCACCTTGGTCGGCCGATCGGATGAAACCGCTGTGACTGAGGTTCCTGGGATGGGCCGCAAGTTTTTGGGTGTGAATGCCGGAGGAACTCTCGAGCTCCACGGGTCAGAGAGACTGTCCTGGACCTTCCTCACTCGCACTGTACCTTCTTCAGGTTTGGTTACCGGTGACCATGGCTTCCAGAAGAACTTCAGCCGTGGAATTAACCTGCGGGTGGTTGACCAGGACACGGCGGAGGTGGTGTGTAACGAACGTTTCGACACGCACGATTCTCGTAATGACAGTAAGAGGCTTAGTCAGCTGCTGAAGTCTCTACCTGCAGGACGCATTGTTGCACTGGCCACTGGAGATTCTGCAGTTAAGAGCCTGCTGGAGGAGACCAAAAGAACCATCCAGGATCTTCTAGGCAGCAACCATGTCAATAATCTCAAATACAGGTGAATAAAGCTTCCCTACTTAAAAAAAAATCTTTTTAAACCAGCCAAAGCTGGTTTGCTAGTCTCCCCGTTTGGTCAGGCTGGTCTCCTGGTTGGTTTTAGAGAGGTTTTGGGCACTTTTCATCTTTTTATGTTGGGAGACCAGCTTAAACCAGCTTTTTTGTTGTTTTAACCAGGGATAAGGATGTAGGGAATGGGATGCCATAAACTCTGTGAGAGATTTCCTATAAATGTGCTTCAAACGTCATTGAATCTCTGGAGGGTGGAAGCAGGAAAGAAGCTTTTTCCAATCTGATGTGTTTTTTCTTTGATAATGCCGAGCACAGCTTTGAAGTTGGTGTGATTAGGAACAGTAAGTGTCCTGTTGTTCCATAAACCATATCCTAAATTCAGACTCACCCAGCTATTGAATCCCAAAGGCAGCGTGCATTGTGCAGACATTACTAGTCTCATTCATGCAGTCTGTTTGGATGGTTGCTGCCAGTGTTGCCAGATTGGATGGATGATTTCCAGCCCAAAAGCTCACAAAAACCCGCCCAAAACTTTAACTGTCAAAATAATGTTATAGAATATGTAAATCAAGGTTGATAAGGGCAATTTTAACTCCTTAAAACAAAATATTGACGACAAAACAATATAAATGATAAATAAGATAAATTTCCCAGGTAAACGGATCAAATCGGGGCGAATAGCCTACATTAAAGAGAATTAGGCTACCGAACATGAATAAAATATGCAAGCAGACATTGTCAAAATGGCAATCATGAAATTAACCGATATCCTCGAAACAACACATGCGTGATTTTCAATGTCAGCAGTCAGAATAATCCCATTTAAATGCAAAAAGTGCCCAATATAAGCGATAGAAAAAAGCAACGTAATTAGCAGGTATTTCACACTCGTTCAAGCGCACACCATGACAGTCAACTCAAAACTGTGTCATTCATTGATACTTAATTATAATCCGACAATTAAAAAAATAACAACAATAATTCGCTTACCTTCTTGTCGCTCTATAATTTTACACAGAACTAGAGGAAGCCTCTTGTTAAGTTCATATTGTAGAACATAATACAGAACTTTGCACAGTCAAAACTAATCAAGTCTAGCAGTTTTCAAGGATTTATCAATCTGGACCGTTTAAAAGATAAAAGACATGATCGTATAAACCGACATATTTAGTTTCGGTTATGATTAATTCAAATATGCTCTGATTTCGGAGTTGCAGTGATAGAGCCTTCGTGTCATCCCACTCCACAATAATTCACGTTTTGAGAGTTGAGTCACTCTCCCACTCTTTAACTTATATTTAGGCATTGTGATTACTTGAATATACAGTCATACTACATCAAAATCAGATACGTTATAACTTATATAACACACTAAAAACTTGTCACTCATGAATCATAATGACTGTCTGCTGAGCCCTCGTGATAAGTGCGGCTGTCGACGTTTACATCAGCACCAGCGCCTCTGCAGTGTGAACCCGCCCAATCTGGCAACACTGGTTGCTGCACACTTAAAGATGCAGGATTGTCTTTGCATTATATAATTAAATATCAAACAATGTGGCACGCTAGGCTTCATATTATAAAACAATACTGTTCAACATTATGAGCCTGTATTTGGACACTTTCTGGTCTTGAGACCAAAAATATATAAAAAAGTCAAGTTAGTTCTGCAGAAAATGATGCCACTTGGTTTATACAATGTTATTTTTGGATTGAATTTAATGCTGTCTAATGCAGTTGCATTCAGACATTTTGAAGTGTGACTTAGGTGTCCAAAACAGTCTAACACTTTGGGGCCATTGTACATTTAGCACATTAATATTAACAAGAAATGTAAAGCAAATATAAAAGTTCTTATTTATTCAGTTGGCATGTTGACTTTTGCCAGTATGTGTATGAGCAGTCGAATATAAGCCAGCTGTTAGTAGCTAATAGTCCTTAGCACTCTTGGGCTTAACCTAACTGGTTGGTTGTTTCACAGAAATGTATCTAAAGAAGCCACCCAGTGTTTCACATAGCAGTATTTTGAAGGAAACCCCAGTGAAAGGTTAAACAGGCGTATTTCCAGGATTTGTTTGAAAAGTGCTGACATGTGTATCTGTCTATATCTCAATGCAAGGTTTTATAAAGAGCTCACCAGGTGTGGAGTCTCTTCTAGTTACATTGCAGATAGAAAAGTATAGTTTTTTTAGTGAGGGATGTAGTTTACTACCATGCATCTGAAAATATTTTATAAAGCATTTAGTGTCAAATATAGAAATTCCTCCAGACATAAAGCCCACTTTTACAGTCTACTGCAAAGGCACTTCTGTGTAACATTCTCTTACTGCTTCAAGAAATGTGGAAAATATTCATGCTTATTTTAATGTTCAAGCTGCAGACTGTGTCTCTAGACACATTAGTTTGGTCAAAGGTCTTGGGCATGAAAACTCGGTTTTCTGTGTTCTGTTACATAACTAGAACTCCAAGGCAAAGAAAATGTGTATCATATGAGGAAATATTATCTGTCTGCTGACTACTGACTTTGTGCCGTTGCAGTTATGTGGTTTTCAGTGAATCTGGTGGGGCAGGATTTGGTTAGTAGTAGGTGTGACAGAAAAACCAACTTAAATGTACTCATTTGGAGACTTTGGAGACAGTTTGACACACTGCGCACACAGAAACCCTTTCCTTTACCCTTGCTTTCCACCCGTTACCAGTCAAACTCACCACATCTCTGATGAAAACATGCAAACTTGGCAGCTCCCTTTTGCAAAACAGAACAATCTGGCACAATCTAACTGAAAACTTGCGCAACATAAACCAGCCTGTCCAAGTCTAACCCCCTGCTCCCCATAGGTACTCCTGAGGGGGTGCATTGGAGCTCACATATTTTTGATATAAATTCATTGATAAGCCTGTTATTGGATACTGATAAATCTAACATATGGGCTCTGCCAGATCTCAGACTAAAATCTCAGACAACTTTGTGTTGTTAAGAGAGCACTTAACCTCAGATTGCTCAGAGAGGATTGTCCCTGTGGAAAGAGGTGTATGTTTGGATACAAAGCATGTGTTAAGTGAGGGGCAAGGGGACCTCCAGAGGTTGCAAGAGGGTCAGTGGAAAATTTCAGTGAAAAAAAAGTTTAAAACAATAAGTATAAAAAAAATGCACATTTTATACAAGATAAAGTTCTAAATGTATTCTAATAGTGGATAAACTGTTAATTTAATACAAAGAACATTTTTTGTGATTAACATTTCAATCATTTATTTAGGTTATATTAGAAATAAGCCCATGACTTAATTTTGCATTTTGCAAGTTGTTAACTTAACAAGATTAATAATTCAATAATAATTTTTTAATTATAATTAAATTTTTAATATAATTTTTTAAATATCTTTCTCACACTGTATAAATGGACCTTTTTACATTAGAGTAGATTTTAATTTTTTTATTTTGCAAAAATAATTCCTTTTGCAAGGTGACCATCATATTTTGGAGCATCAAACGAGTTAAATGACAAAAGGCCTTCAGAGTCACTGATAAGATCCCTGGCGTGTCTGTATCTGTTTTGAAGAAAGAGTTTGTTGTGCTATTGTGGGAAATGGTTTATTTCCACAAATTTCATTCAGGTTTTGACAGCATGGAATCATAGAAATTATTGCTGCCTGTGTTTTTTTTTCCTTTGTCTTAAAACAAAAGGTTTTGTGTCACACAAAGAATATGGAAGTACTATTGTTTCAAATGTTGAAGGTGTTAAAAGTGCAGGAAATGTTGTGACGATTCTTCTTTAATGATATTAGACATTCTTCTCCCCTTTGAGGGTAGGGAATTGCCAGGAATGAGATGGAAAAAGACAGGAAAGATTCCTGTGTTAGTCAGACATAGTAGTTATTCTGAGAGATTAGGTAATCCTGCCTTTTTGGCTGCTAAAAGATGAAAACATTAAAGATAAAACAATAATATAAGTGTGGTTTCTGGCCATCATAGACCGCCCACCTCACAGCAGCTAAGTTGGTCTTATTGGTCTCAATGTGGGTAGTTAGTCACTCTGTTTATCCACAAAGATTTTATTAACTTGTTGTAAACTGCAATGAACCACGCTCCTTAATGGGAGAAAGTTCAATGAGACACTATTTTCCAAACCTCTGGAGGATTTCATGTTTGAGGCTTGGCCTTTAGAGCTCATATGCGTCAGTAAAACAAATAGCATTTCTGACCTAGTTGCTGTGAAGAAGTAACTGCAGTTTCATCATAGTGGAAGTATTAATGCTACTACAGAAGCTGACACCAGTAGCTCCAGAGCCTGATGAGCCATAATAGTTATATCTTTTGGTATTTTTACCCCCCTTTTTTCCCCACTCATTTTAGTTCCATCCTTTCCAAAGCTGAATTATACCATATTGGGACAGAGGAAGTAGGATTTGGTATATCCGGTGGGGGAATCATTTATGAATTCATTCGGTAAAAAAGGTCAAGCCATATATTATCCTTCTTTTTTCATTTTTTAAAGGGATAATTTACATATTCTTTCATTATTTATCACTCTCATGTCATTTCAAACCCACATGACTTCTGGAGACCAGAAAAAGACATGTTCAGTAGTGTGTTCACACTGCTCTTGTCAATCCAAATCCAAGTGAATGGTGACCAGGGGTTGTTGAGCACCAAAAATGACAAAAAGCATCATTAAAGTGGTCCAAATGCATATTATATTAATACATATTCAGAGTCTTCTTAAGTAATACGACAGCTTTATGTGAGGAACAGACTGAAATTTAAAAGGTTAGTTCACCCAAAAATGAAAATTAGGCTGCGTTTTACTTACCCCCGAGGCATCCTAGGAGTCATATACACCTAGGATGCCTCGGGGGTGAGTTAAACGCAGCCTATTTTTCATTTTTGGGTGAACTAACCCTTTACGGATAGTTCACCCAAAAATGAAAAATCTTCAAAAAAGAAAAATACTCATTCTCGTGTTATTTCAAATATGTATGTCTTTGTTCTGTGGAACATAAAATAAACTATTTATAAGATTATTCCATTGCATGGACAGAAAACACCAAGATATATGTCAGAATACATTAATTTGTGCTTTGCAGAAGAAATAAAGTCGACAAGAGGATGTAAATGATGACAGAATTTTCATTTTTCGGTCAACTGTCTTTAAATTGAATCATACAGTAATGACATTGAGGATAAGTAAATGAAAATTTTTCGAACCCTTGAACATTGTGAATATTCAGACAGTGTTCTTTCATAAAAGCAATGACTTTCTTCAAACAATTCCCACATTTTGGTTTATATTATCATCATAGCCTGATGACAGAAATTCAATTGCCTTTAGTTGAGTGACAACTGCTCTTCTAATGGGCTGACTAGAAAAATAATAGGAAGGAAGGATTCAATTAGCCATTCTCATTCATCCTTGACAGTGTTTGGCTTTTTCACCCAAGAGTTTTGGCTGCTCTTCCATTAAATTATGTGCAATAACTGAACATCACTTCCACATGGAAGTGCATTGACAAGTCTTAATGGAGAAGCCATTTATCCTAATTTGGAATTTAAATGTTGTAGTCATTGAAGTGATTGATTTTAGCCAGTTTATATGCTAAAAATACATAATTCCTCCAAATCTGCATCACGTTTTCTCTTGCATGTGTTTGTCCATTACTGGCTTTTTTTTAATAGCTTTTCTCTCCATCTTCCATCTCTATTTTAGGCAGGCATGGGCCTTGGTTTCAGTAATTGGTGGAGGAAATGGTTCTTGCACAGAAGATGTACGAGAACACGAGAACCATGACACAGGTGGCAAGGCGCTGGCTCGCAGAGAGTTTGTCACTGTGGATGGTGTTGGTTTCACTGTTACTGCTTACAGCGAGTGGAAAAATGGTACGTCTTTGACAGCATAGAGTAAAATCTACAATATTGAACAAGAATGTATTAAAAGAAAACCCTTTTAAAACCTACACTGGTTTTTGTTCTACCATAAAGGTTACCCAACAACAGGCTTCCAGGTGGATGCAGTGGATAAAGTGGTTCTGAACCTGATGGATGAGGTTAGCAGCTGGAAACCGGGCGATCGGATTGTGGTGGCCAGCACTGATTACTCCATGCATCAGGCAGAGGAATTCACCCTGCTCCCGTGTCCCCACTGTAACAGGAAACAGGTTCGAATTCAAGGTGAAGTAAACAGCATGCATTTCCTCCGGTTTCTTGTGGTGATACAGTGTATCTGTCCTGAATCTTGCTGTGAATTTGTATACAGCCGAGCTCAAGTAATGACAGTGTCATTGAGTTTGAGACAGGAAAAGGGTGAGGACTGTTTACCAGAATCACATAAACAAACTGTCATTTCTGACCAGAGGCCAGCCGAGGCTATATAGATAATTCCACCATCATGTGCTCCACCCTGTTAAAAACATTTTCAGTAATTGCTTTCCAGTGCTAATGTCCCAGCTGGTCTTTATTGAGTATAGGAATTTGGACACTTAAAGGGTTAGTTCACCCAAAAATGAAAATTCTGTCATTAATTACTCACCCTCATGTCATTCCAAACCCGTAAGACCTTAGTTTATCTTCAGAACACAAAGATATTTTTGATGAAATCCGAGATCTTTCTGACCCTCCATAGACGGCAACAGAACTACCACTCTCAAGGCCCAGAAAGTTAGTAAGGACATCAATACAATAGTCCATGTGACATCAGTGGTTCAACCGTAATGTTATGAAGCTACGAGAATACTTTTTGTGTGCAAAGAAAACGAACGCTTTGTTTACAAGCAGAGGAATGCACACACATGCATCATGGTACTCTTGTGAATGTGTGTTGAAGACTGACACGGAGGAGAAGAAATTGTTGAATAAAGTCATTATTTTTGTTTTCTTTGCGCACAAAAAGTATTCTCGTAGCTTCATAACATTACGGTTGAACCACTGATGTCACATGGACTATTTTAACAATGTCCTTACTACCTTTCTGTGCCTTGAATGTGGTAGTTGTGTTGCGGTCAGAAAGCTCTCGGATTTAATCAAAAATATCTTAATTTGTGTTCCGAAGATGAACAAAGGTTTTACATGTTTGGAACGACATGAGGGTGAGCAATTAATGACGGAATTTTCATTTTTGGGTAAACTATCCCTTTAAGTCATACAAATGTCTGAATGTTATTTTTGTGGATACTGTAAATGTTTTTTTTCCCCCAGGATTTCCTAATAATAGAAATCTTTTGTAACATTTTAAATGTCTTTACTGTCACTTATGATCAATTGAATGCATCCTTTCTGAATAAAAGCCTTAATTTCTTTCCAAAAAAACAAAAAACAAAAACTTACTGACCCCAAACTTTTGAATGGTATTTTATATCTTTAAAATAAATGTCCATTGAGTTGATATTGTAGTATAATGCTAAAACGTTCTTGCATTATTAAGTATCCAAATAGTTTCTGGGGTGTATTGTGTATTTATTAACATATATTCATTATTCCCAGCACATATGTTAATTCCTTGGAGAATTGGAAATGTCTTCAATATATGGCCTTTATTAAAAGGATGTAGTTTAAATGTCACCGTGTGCATTGTGTCCTGTTGGCAAAGCTTTTGCCAGGCCTTTTCCCTCCGGAAGGATACTGTGTGCACTCTGGGTGTGCGTAAAGGGCAGTCTGAATGTGTGGACAGGTTGCTTTCCTTCCTGGATCCATTATTTATTTATTTTTTTTACTTTTATTTTTAAGTTTATCCACTAATTTTTTCCAGTTCTTCCTAATTCGTCTTCTTAATTCAATCAAATTAAATGATAAAAATATTTAAACAGAAATTGTATTTTTTTTTATTGGAGTTGGTTTCATTATTTAAGTTAAATCTCTCATCATTAGTCATTGAGCTTTATGGTGTGTGTTTATGTGTTGGAATTTCTCAGGAAAGCCTCAGTTCACCCATGTGGGAGAGATACTGGACGGTGTGGACATGCGTGCAGAGGTGGCTCTCCTCTCAAGGAATATCCTCATTCATGGAGAAATGGAAAACTCCTGCTACGGAAAGAATTGGTGCCAGTACTTCAGCTACGACACCTTCGGGGGACACATCAAGGTCTATTTGAAACTCTGTGTGTGTGTGTGTGGTTGTGTGTTTATTTAACACTAAGCTGTCTTGTGCTGTCATGTGGAGAAATCACAGGCTGTTGTATGTTGGGGTTTGCACCAGATAATTGAGTACAGCTCTTTTTTTGAATGGAAGGAACTGAAAGCATAATCTTAAGTTTGTGTGTTATTTTTGGCAGCAGAATGAAAAACCACAACACAAGTAGCGCTTATACGACTTACTCGTTTTTTACTAGTAGGCTAGTTGACGGGTCAATGTTTACATTATGTAAATGACCAACCATATATTATGCAGCAGTCTTTGCTGTTTCTGGCAAGTCCAGGGCTGTGTTAATATAGAGTGTGTTAGTGGAGAAAATGTCAGAATTATTTGTATAATTTTATAAAAATATATTTTATATACATTTGTTTCATTATTTGATTATATGTTATATTTATGATTATAATTAATATTTTTAACAGTTTTGTATAATTAAACGATAGATAGATAGATAGATAGATAGATAGATAATAGATATGATTTGTTTGCCATTATTTATTGGTTGTGTTTTTGATCTCCTGTTTTTTGATCTTGTTTAGATTTTGGGGAACTTCTCGTCGATCCACTTGTCTCAGGTGGAGCTGAAACACATGGGTCAGCAGCAGGAGAAGGGCAGATACCCTGTGAACTTTCATAGGTGTGGAGATGTGGACCAGCGCGGGGGGTACAGTGATCCAGCATATCTAAACTCCCTCTCCATCCATCACTCCTTCTCCCGATGCGTTGGCATACATGCCACTAATGGCTTGCTGGTGAGAGAAATATATACGTCCTTATAATAATGTATTTCTTTACATTGATCTTTTCATTTTGCTTTACCATGATGTCTTCCTTTTATTATAGGTTAGGGACACGGTTGGCTATGTTACGCTGGGACATTGTTTTTTCCTGGAGGACGGGATTGAACAAAGGAACATATTTTTCCATAACCTTGGCTTGTTGACCAGGCCAGGGACCATTCTCCCTACCGACCGCAACGATAGCATGTGCACAGAAATGACAGACAGGGTACACAAAGGATATGTACCCTCTCCTGCTAACGAGTGCAAGTAAGATACCATAAACTCTCACATATTTATTTAATATTGCTGGATAGACCTGTAACTTAAACTGAGGCCAATATTCAAAATGCTTGAAGCCTCTCAGCTTGAAATTGTGCATTCTGTTATCTGAAAGTTTCCTGATGCTTGTTCTACTCTGGGTAACTGACCTTGACAGTGTGACCTGCTGTATTGTTTGGTCAAATAACAGGAGAAAGAACAGAGCTCTCATTTCCTGAGACTCAGCCATAGTCTTTTTCTCTTATCCGGGCAATAAAACACCCAGCGTCCCAGCCAGGCGGAGGATAGCTGAGGAGGTGCTGTTTTCAAAAGGATAACAAATGTTTTGGGAGCGTGTGTGTGGTTGTGTATAGGGCTTTAGATGTTCAGGATGAAGATAGATGATAGAATATGTTTCAGAGTTGTAGATCTGATCAAACAGTCAGGTAATGCTGCTGGTCAGGTTAGTAAACAGTTGCACTTTTGTACCAGGGTTATTACAGTTTTTGTTTTAAATTCAGGTTCTCTTGCTTTTAAAACAATTTTTTTTTATAAGTTTTACTGGATCTTTGTTGGTTTTATTTTATTTTTTGTTTATTTTATTTTTATTGTAGTTTTAGAACGTTAATGCTGCCCAACATATTTTATATATTTTATAAACTATATTTAAGACTAAAGACTAAAATTAATTTATGGCTATTTTTATTTTGTTTTGGGTAAAATAAAAAAGAAAGATAAAATATAAGATATGTTATGCCAATTTATTTTAGTTTAGTTTCAGTTTTTCAGTATTTAATTATTTAACAAAAATATTTATTAGTATTTTTATTTGCAAGATTATTTTCCCATGCTGTATGTCAGAATAAAAAAAACCCTGTGTCTTCTTCACTAACCACCTGCAATCCAGGCTAACCAAACATTAAATGCAATAAAATACTGCAAAGTGCAATATGAGTAATATTGACTGTGATGTGTTATGTACATACATATAAACATGCTTTAATGTATTTTAAGATCACACATTTACATGACCCTGTCTGACCTGTGTATTCTAGGGCAGTATCTACATTTTGGATTGCACACCCCAATAATCATTTGATCAGTAACTCAGCAGCTGGATCACAGGTATGTACAATCCTTGATATAGCCAAATGAATCATTTTCACTATGATCTGTAATGAACAGTGAGTAAATGTTTGTTTGCAACATTTTCACAGTATATTATCAAAAATGTGATTTTTCTCTGATTGAATTTGTGCTCTGTGAAATGATGCCCACAGCTCTGTGATATTGATGAGAACATCAAGACGGTTATGTAATCACAGATAGCATCTCCTCATTCCAATCCTTTATTAAAGATGTATTTGCCAATATAAATCTCTTTGGTCTGGTGGTATTGTCGTGCTTCGTTTTGTTTGTTTGAGGTTTTGTATATAAAAGGTTGTACCCTCCACCCTTTTTATTAAAAGAAAACTTCTCATGAAGTCATGCTTTCAGCACACCAGGCTAAGAAAGTCTCAATCTTGATATAGAAATCAGGACTCAAGAATAAATATTATTCACCACACTTTCCACAAGTACAAAATAGGGCATTTGTACCTTCAGAAAATGTTGAGGAGATGTACCATATTTATGAAAATACCTGGTACATGAATTTTCCCTTGTTTTTTTTTCTCTCAGGATGCAGGAATTTGGTACGCTTTCCACAATTCTTCTACAGGTGATTCTCATGGACTGATTCCAGAGACGAAAGCTGAGCTCACGCCTCTGGGCATCTTCTTTAACAACCGTGTTCATTCCAACTTTAAGGTAATCAAATTCCTCATCTATGACTCTAATGCCAAATTCACAAACCAGTGGGCAAAACAAACCTTCAAATAAAAATAACAATGCTTCAGGATAATTAGACTTTATGATTTATAAATGCATTCTGAGTCTTTTTTTTGTAAATTATCTTCCGGTGATTTATCACACAAGATCAATGCTAATGCTATTTCTCCGACGTCATTTAATACCCAGCTCCCTGTGACTCATAAAAGTGCAGTTCATAAATCATTTGGGATTTGTAACATTTTATTAAATGTGGCTTCAGGAAAGACTCATGCAATCAATTATGAGTTCAGGTTTTTATTGCACATACACAAGGCATCTTCGTTCTTTCTCTGAAATGCCTCAGTGTTCAAAGTCCCGCACAATGTGCTTGTGTGACGCGGTGCTCACACATACATTTCCCTGTACAATAGTTCTCTGTTATCTGCTTGTTTATGTTGGCCTGCTCGAGCTGTGAGCTTAGTGTTGTGAATCGTGACTGTCCAGGTGCAGCGAAACTACAGGCTACGCTTTCACTGGCGCTGTATTACTCGAATGATACCAGACACTGAACATACAATTTCAAAGTGAAGAGTGATTGCTTCTTTCATCCTGTGTCAGGCTGGCCTCTTTATCGATAGAAAAGTCAAGAGCACCAACGCCACCGCAACAGACCCACGTGAATACCTCTGTTTGGACAACAGCGCTAGGTGAGTGAACATGGTGAGCATTTCTTTGTGTCCAGGGTCAGTTGATTCAGCTTATAAAGAAAACACATCTGCCCAGATAGAGTTTCTGTACTAGTCAGGGGGATTCAGTATATCTAGAGTTCTCTTCTTAAGCCACACACCACACTATAAATATACAGTGTGTCAGAGTGTATATATATACAGTATATATGCAGTAGGTGTATGTTTCCCCTTGTTTATTTCAGATATTGTGACTGTATTCTGTGTTAAATGTTTCTGTGTAAAATTTGTGGGTGAATCTCACAAAAAGGTCACATTTGACAGCAAAACATCATTTTGGCATTGTGCCAATTGTCAAATTCCCCAAAATTTCTGATTTCCATAATGTGTCTGGACATTTTATTTACTTTTTACTTGTATTTAATATACATATATATATATATATTTTTTTTTGATTTTCTTTTATTTACATTATCATTTAATTGCATAATCTTAATTATCACAGCTTTTAAAATATATTTCCCATTGTTTTCAGTGGTGGTTCTTTATTTATAGTCACGATAAAACAAAGTAGTGACAAGATAATTTCTGTAGACTAGTTTTCACTGGAAGATCCGGTTATGATATTTTGATTTAAAGATATACATAGATGAATAGTTCACAATAAGATCTATATATCATTTAAGGCCAACTTTAATATAAATCAGCATACATTAAAAGGAGTATAATAAACACTAATACTGTGAATGCTTAAATTTAAATATATATATATTTTTTCATATTACAGGTAGGCTTGCTGCGATAGACGGTGTTTTCGGTAATACGGTGTTAAGCCGCAACACCGGTTACGTCATTTGCCTACCGCGGCCACGCCACCCACCGTCGTTTTGATTTTTTTTATAGAAACAAAAATCATTTAGCCTAGTTCAGTTAGAGGACAGACACTTTTAACTAAACGCTCAATGCAGCGTGCCGAACCGTGCACGAACGACAGTGCACCACGGAGCAGGAGTCAGATTTATTGCGGCAATTCAATTGCCGCTAATTCGAAAGTGAAAGTAAAATCCGCATAGCACTTTTACAAGCCATTTGAAAGCTAAGAAAAGAGGGAAACTCAAACGAATTAACATCCCCCTCCCACCCCAACGGTGATACCGGTATTACCGGTGTTGTCACACGTTGATTAACCGGTGGGAAAATGTCCTCACCGTCACAACCCTAATTACAGGAGCAAACTAACAAACATGTAGAAATCACCTCACAATTCTAGCATTAAAGGGATAGTTCACCCAAAAATTACTCACCCTCATGTCGTTCCAAACCTGTATGCGTTTCTTTCTTATGTTCAACACAAAAGCAGATATTTTGAAGAATGCTTGTAATCAAACAGTTGATGGTGCCCATTGACTTTCATAGTATTTCTTTCCCACACAAAACAGAAGATCCGATGAGTCAAAGATTTAACAGCTTTGTAATTGATAGCACCTAAAAATGAAAATTCTGTCATCATTTACTAACCCTCATGTTATTCCAAACCTTCATGACTTACTTTCTTCTGTTGAACACAAAAGAAGTTATTTTGAGGAAGGTGGGTAATCAAAACAGTTTCTGGTCCTCATTGGCAGCCATAGTACTTTTTTCCCTACTATGGAAGTCAATGGGGATAAGCAACTGTTTGGCTCTTCAAAATTCTTCAAAATATCTTCTGCTGTGTTCAACATAAGAAAGAAGCTCATACAGGTTTGGAACGACATGAGGGTGAATAAACGATGACAGAATTTTCATTTTGGGGTGAACTATTTCTTTAACACAATTGCTTGGGCAATCAGCACTTACATTTTCCCTCTAAAGGAAAGATTGCATTTCTCATTGGTGACATTTCTTTCTCAGGTTCAGGCCTCATGAGAACTCTGATCCAAGCAGGCCACGGGTGGCCGCACTCATCGACACTCTCATCTCCTTTAAAAACAATGATCTGGGGGCCTGGATCCGCGGAGGTGACATAGTCATACGAAACTCAGGGTAGGGGTCAAAACCTCTTAATTGTAGACATGTTAAAAAGCTCAAAATTTAAGAGAAGCTCATTGCATCAATAAAATATAGCAATCTTCTTTTCCTGATAGATTTGCAGACAATGGTGTTGGACTGTCATTTGCAAGGTACTGTGTCATTTTTCTGTTTGTTAGAGCTGCCAATCAGCTACTTTATGATCTAATTAATCGCATATGTGAATAGCATTAAACATGTTAAATTGACAATCATAGTGTTTGTATGTGAGTGCATGTCTATATGAGGAAATGTTCTTGCTGTATGTGTGGCTGGCGGCAGGCATAGTAATTTAAAGGAACATTTTTGTTTTTATTCTGCTAAAACAGTCACAGTCTGATTGGCAAATGTGTGCAAGTGTGTGAATGTGTCTGGGCTAGTGTTTTACATCAACCACCTAAGGCAAGCAGTTAATGAAACAGTGTTTCCCTCCCCTCCTCCTCTTTCTCACTGCAGTGATGGCAGCTACCCTAAAGATGAGGGCTCCAGTCAGGAGGTCTCCCAGTCTCTGTTTGTTGGTGAGAGCAGAAATCGTGGCACCAACGGAGGGCAAAATAAATACTGGGGAATTGGTGGAGTAGACGGAAAGATGAGAACTCTACCAAGAAACAAGTACGGGAGAAAAGAAATAAAGGGAGATTAGTATTAATAAACTTTTGTCTGGTTTAGTGAAATACAAATTCTTTGTATAATTGGAATACTGTTTGCTCTGTTCTTGTCAGGACGTTTCCTATCCGAGGTTTTCAGATAAATGATGGTCCAGTGAGACTCTTAGACAGCACATTTCGTGCCTTCAGTCCCACGACCGAGCGCTTCACCATGGCTGTGGGATTCAGCCTGAAAAACATCTGGCAGCTGACACCCAGAAATAACCTGTCGTCTCTCGCCTTCCAGCCTAGTGTGAGTGCATATACACATTTAGGACCTGGACACTGTTCAAATGCTCACTGACACTACTATACTGTGACTGCTAACCCACCTAACACACAAACATACAAGTTACTCAGTTTAACTGCTTCTGTGATAAGATATTCAGTACTACAGAATAAAACCTGTGAACATTTTCTAATTTTTTTTAACATTTTTGTTTATTTGTATTTTATTTGAGTACATTATTTCAGTCACGTTTATTACTCACTAATTTTATTTTAGAATTTAAATTTTTTTATATATAATTTAATTTCCCTTGTAGCAACCATTGTCATGTAGTTTTCACTCTATATATTTTCAGTGCTTATAGTTTTTGTTTATTTATTAAATGATTTTATTTTGATTTTAGGTATGTGATTTTGGGACTGCCCAAGTTAGTGTGTTAACCCGGTTTATTACCATTAAATCAAACAAAAACCATAAAAAAATCAAATAAATGTTACTTGATTAAAGTAAAATACATAAAAAAAAGAAATAAAATGAATAAGAACTATATACAACTTTGACTGAAATTAAAATTAAAATGGAAAATATAAAAATAAATACTAATTAAAACTTGGTGGTACTAAAAAAACACCGTTGATAATTTTTTTTAATGTTGTATTTCAAAAACAAATTTGTCATTTTTATTTTATTTTAATAATTTTTTGCATTTTTTTATTTATAAATATAAAGATTACAGGGTAAAAAAGAGAATAAATGTACTCAGAAAATGGACAGAATCGAAGCTGTGTTTCCTAAAAAAAAGTTTTTGACATTTTACCTATAATTATTTTTTATGACAATTAGTTTTTTTTTTTTTTTTTTTTTTTTTTTTTTTTTTTTTTTTTTGTTTGTTGTCAGAGTCAACTATAGACTAATTACAGGGACTGGCCCCCTGGGGCAACCTGAACGTAATTGCATTACTAAAAGGTCATAGAGACCATTTCTTTAGAAACCCAGATCTCCCAGATAACACCACCAAGTCTGTCTAGTCTGTAATAACGGTTATTTATCTTAAGTGTTACTAATGCTTGTACTTATTGCTTGTTTCTCAGTGAGAGAGATGACACATCTGGTTGTTCTCTGTTGATTGATCACCATCTGCTCTGGTGCTGAGGAATTAAATAATAAGACCCTGTTCTGGCAGCTGGTATTTAGCATATGTTAAAAAGAGCCCTTGAAAAGATCTTTAAATGTGGTCATATTTTGCTTCACTTGTGTCTAAATGGTACCACATTAATTCTACGTCTGTCCGGTTGTTTTTGTTAACATTTCTCATGACCAGTGATCCTCTTTTAATCATTCAGGTGACTCTAAGAGCATTTTTTGGCCGACCAGGCGAGTGGTTTGAACAGAATGATCTGGACGGTGATAAAAATTCCATCTTTCATGACTTGGATGGTTCGATCAGCAGTTACACAGATACGTATGTGGCAAGGGCTGACAACTTCCTGATCCGCCACCCACAATGTGTGGATGTTCCTCATTGGAATGGGGTTGTGTGCAGTGGCAAGTACTCTCAGGTAAAGAAATAGGTGTCTCATTCTCCTTTTGCAGTTTCATGTCATGTTATTATGCAAGTACATCACTGTTCAAAAGCTGTGGTCTATAAATTGTTTTCTGCTTTTGATAGAAGCCTCAACAAGAATGCATTTATGTAATGACAAATATAGTAAAAAAGTTTTATTGTGAAATGTTTTTACAATTTAAAATAACTGCTTTCTTTTAAAAAAAATTTAGAATGTAATTTATAACCAAACCTGAATTTTCAGCAGCCATTACTCCAGTCTTTAGTGTCACATGATCCTTCAGAATTTATTCTAATATGCTGATTTGCTGCTCAAGAAATATTTATTAATATTGCTTTTGAAAACAGGTTTGCTGCTTCATAATTTTGTGGAAACCTTGATACATTTTCTTTTGATGAATAGAAAGTTCAAAAGAACAGCATATAGATTAGTATTGTAAATAGATTGTGTTTTTTAGTCTTTACTCTTATTTTTTTTTTAACAATTTAATGCTTCCTTGCTGAATTAGAGTATTAATTTTATTGAAAAAATCTAATAAAAATCTTACTGACCCCAAACTGTTGAACAGTATTGTATATCTTCTTAACTGTTTTTTTAACTTTTTAAACAGTGTTACTTATGTTCTCAATAGGTGTATATACAGTCGCAGGGCGCATCTAATCTGAGCCTGTCTATCAGTAGAGATGAATACCCTGATAAACCCATGGTTCTCAGAGGCATCAGAAGCCAGACAGCTCCTTCTCAGCAGTACCAACCTGTACTGATGATGGGCAAGAGCTATACGGTGCACTGGAATGGACCTGCACCCAGAGAAACAGTCCTGTCACTGATTAATTTTGACCAGTAAGTTAAAAAGGAGGAATGTTATCTCCCCCCCCATATCTGAAACAGAACATTAGTTGCTAAACTATATAACCATGAAATGATGCCTTAGTAATTGCTCATGCCTGATGTGATTATTGACTGTGTTGCTCCTGTAGGGGTGATTGGGCTCTTCTCGGCTTCTGCTACCCCAATGAAACAGTCTTCCAGATCACATCAGACATCTACAACAAGCAGAACAACAGCTTCGATGGCATAGAGGACTATGGCCCCGTATCGTCCATTTCAGACCTAGAGAAACGACAGCAGGAGAGGAAGTACTTTTTCGACAAATCTGTTGGGTAGGAAAAAATGTATTTGAAATGTTAACAAGCCTTTATCAACATATTGATTTCACAAAAAAAGCTGTAGGAATCACAATAGGTCTATGCATTTTATTGAATTTTAATTATTTTTAAAGGTATTAATATCACTTTTAATAGAATATAAAAATCCGAAAGCATAAAACACTAAAAACTAAGGTCCTGTTTACACTAGTGCGTTTTCGTTTTAAAACGGCGTTTTAGAATGAAAACGATCCTCGTCTACGCTGGTGTTTTCACTGCGTTTCAGAAACAATCTCCGTCCACACTACACAACCGAAAACGCATGTCACATGACCATTAATGCATGTACAACCATAGATATGTATAGGTATATGCCTTATTATTTAGATGGAGGACGCTTCTATGTGCTTGGAGCGGTCGAATGGGGACTCTACCTATACATATCTATGGGTACAACAATGAGCATGATGTTATTGTGTACACGGTCGTCAAGGATACGCAGAGCGAATGTGGGCAGCCACGCCATCGTTTTCATCAAAAGTCTCCATTTTGGTCTGTTTACACTGAAATGCAAATACACTGAAATGAGTTTTCAAACTAAGACAGGGTCTGCAGCTTTTTCAAAAGTCTCCGAAAACGCCGGAGTAGTGTAAACGACAGTCGCAACCGTAGCAGAAGTTGTGCATTTTAAAATGAAAACGCACTAGTGTACTTTTTTTTTTTTTAATGATCCAAGGGAATTTAGACATCACAGCGTTATAATATAAAGTATTCATTTTCAGATCTGCTAAAGATTTAAGTGTTAATTAATAATCATTAGATGATGGAAAAGGTGCTCAGTGTAACATGATCCTTCGTAAATCATTCTAATATGCTGATTTGTTGCTTAAGAAACATTTCTAATTATCACGCCATTGAATGAGACAATGTTGTTCTGTCAGGCTCATCCTGATGCTCAAACAATCAGAGCAATGTTTTGATAGTGACACAGAGCCACATTGTTTACAACCTGATCAGTCTGAGACCGTAAGCCTGTGTTTAACCTCCAGTTTGTTATGGCTGTACGCACGAGCTCGGCACAGACGAGATGGCCATAGCTACTGCTCCACCGCAGGCTGCGAGAGAGTGAAGATCATCGCCACCATACGTGCCAACCAAAAGACTCAGACCTGCAACTGCACTGCCAATGCCTACCCCAAATACAGAAAGCCTGCCAGCAATATAGTGCCTATGCCAAAGCCGAACACAGAGCCCTGCAGAGCCTGTGGGGCCTCACAGGTAAGTACGGTCCAAACTTCATATGAACGGGCAGGATCATTTGTGTGTCTCTGTTTGAGTGCAACTGGCTTTGAACTATGTGCCAGATAGACATACTGTCCATCTGCCGTCCTGTCCGAGAGCCTTACCTTGCGTTTTCTGGGTAATTGTAACAGGGAGCCATTAAGCTGTCAACCCTGAGTGACTTTTATTTTCCTCCCTGTAGTTTGCCTTCTCCAGTGATCCATGGAACAGCTACCTCCAAACCCAGATCAAATCCCTCAGTGTAAAAGAAGAACAGAGTAATGACACACAAGCCTTTATCACTGTGAGTGTGATCATTCAAAGCATTAATTTATTCTTGGGAAAATCAGTGTAAGAAAAGAATACGTTTAGATTTATTTCCCATTTTTAAGTTTAAGTATTTTGAGGCTGCGAGTGTTATAGAGTGTTAACTATTACAGTTCAAATCACTTTTAATTCGTAAAACAAATTTTCCAGGGATGTCTAATGTTATCACTAGTACTACGATTTACGATTTTCGTGTTTACTGATAACTTTTAAAACTTTCTCAATTGACTGTTTTTAAAAACTAAAATTAATTTGTGGCCATTTCTACTTTTGTTTGCAGTCATAATGTATTTTAGTTTCGTTTCAGTTTTTTTTTAAATCATGTTTTATATATATTAATGATAATAAAGCTGATTTGAATTAGTGCTTTTGGCCAATTTTGCTGTGATGGTGGGGACAGGTTGCCGCTTTTAATTTACACAGTGTAGAGGAAAGAAAATTAGAATATGTATTTATCTTCATTTATCTTGCTTTTGTGGTGCATGCAGAAATGAATGTTGTTAACATTTAGAAATAGTTTACGGGACCCGTTTTCTCTTTTCCTGTCTTATAGGTGAATGCAGAGAGGTTTGACCTCAAACAGTCAGGGTTCCTCATAGTTACTGTGGACGCATGCTCTGGAAAAGTCACAAAGAGCTCATTGTTTACGACGCTGGACACTAAAATGGAACAGTATTTTAAAACTGGAATTATGAAGAGGTGAGGTGAAAATTTTGGTTTGGGGTTTTAAACTGTTTGTCTAGAGGTTGGGAAAAGTTGGCACTGCATATAGTTGAGAGGTGGCATAAAGTGTTTATTGAGGGAGCTGGTGATGAGTGTAAGGATTTGTGCAGTGCCGATTGTATTTAGTATATACACTACTGTTCATAAGTTTGGACTCAGTAAGATTTTTTTTAATGAATTGTCCATGAATGAGTCCATGAATTCAGCATTTGTTTTAAAGTGACAGTAAAGACATTTAAATAAAAATAAATTAATATTTGTAGATAATGCTGTTTTCAACATGGATAATAGGAAATGTTTCTTGATCACTAAATCAGTATATTAGAATGATTTTTAAAGGATCGTGTGACACTGAAGACTGGAGTAGTGATGCTGAAAATTCAGCTTTTCCATCACAGGAACAGTTATTTTAAAATGTAATATTCCACAATTTTATTGTTTTTACTGAATTTTTGAACAAGTAAATGCAGCCCTGGTGAGCATAAGAGACTTAAAAGATTAACATTAAAAGATTTTATCAACCCCAAACTTTAGAACAGTATTGCATTTTCGCTATTTTAATAGACCTTTTATTTTTAAAGGGGTCATGAACTGCTTATTTATTATTTTCCGTACTGTTCTCTGAGGTCCACTTATAATGTTATCAAGATTCATCATAATTTAGAAGTAATAGGGTATTTTCTGTCCTGTTTTGACCCCCCTCATTGGAACGCTCTGTTTGAAAAGGTGTGGCGGATTGTAGACTCGGAAGTAAATGCCCACTGCTTTAATTGGCTAACAGTTGTGTATGTTTGACAGCCTCCATCCTTCACAGATGGACGCTGCTGTGATTTAGGCTAAAACGCATAAATACTCAGTAAATATCAAACAATCTGTAATAACAGACAAAGCAATAGTGACCACATAATAAAACAGTTACTCACACTTGTGTGGTGGAACATTACTGTCGGATCCAATATAGTCGACAGCATAGTCTTTTAGTTTCAGTCTTTCTGAAAATCCTGTATCGAATCGTGCCTTGTTTGTAAACGACAAACTTTTTCATTAACTGTTCCCTCCTGGTGGAATGACCTGCCCAAGTCGCTTTGGATAAAAACATCTGCTAAATGTAAATGTAAAAACTTACAGAACATTTTTATAGCACAGTGACCTCTTATATGTCAAAAGATCAGTGGAGTTTTGATTTCTCAGTTCATGACCCCTTTAAGGTAAGTGATTTCCATATTTCACTGTTTAGACTAAATCAGGTTGGTTCTGTGTAGGTCGATAGTTCTTCTTGCAACAAGAGGTCAGCCTGCTGGCATTGCTGGTGCTGCACAATTTCTGGTCCCTTTGGGATTTGCTAAAACACCAGATCTTCAGAAGAAAGGTAAGGTATTTCCAAAACAAAAAACTGCTGTCAGGATCTGTTTTTCCTTGATGAGGATCACTCTGTTTGCTGATTCCTATGACTGTCTTTTTATAGACGCCATTGCTTTCTTTGGGTTCCTTGGCCAGGGAGGTCCTTCACCACAGCCATGGTCTGCTCTGTTGGCCTCCCAAGATACCAAGGTGCTGGGATTACAGGAAAGGTTCATTCCTCTGGCCCTAGAGGAATACTCTTGTCCACCACAAAAAGGCCCTCCCACATGGATGGATATTGAACTCCTGAGAAAATCTCTTAGCCAAAAGTGAGCCTTTACTAGATGTGAACAAACAACACAACCAGCGAATGAATGTGAACTTGTGAACGTAATTTATTTCGGCAAAGGAAAGCGCTAGTGGACTTTGAACAAGTATTTTGTTAAGCAAGTGAATGTATTTGTTTGTTTTGTCCTGCGTGGTTGCATTTTGTCATAAATGTTACAGCACAAAGTGATGCACTTTTTTCAATACACACCAAACAACTTTATTTCAAACTGGACAACAAAAGGACAGGACAAGCTAGAAGTACATCAAACGGCGATCTTGCAGTTCCGTACCACCTGTGCAGAAGTACAGCACAACACAATGGTCATTTGGTGGCCTCTTTTCCTCCTCCAACAATCTGCTGGTGTAAATGACTCTCAGATTTCTTTTTCTGTTATTTATTCCTCTTGATTTAATTGGACGTACCATTATTTAATTGCGTCATTTTGGGTTTCACTGCTGCTGGCACATCAATGACTATAGTTTCACTGTTAAGTATTTGACAGTATTCATGTTTCATTTCAACACGAACATTATCTACAGCTAAATCATTTTTCAAAAAACATTGTTTACTGTCATGTATGTGTATGTGGGAAAGGGTGTTTAACCAGTGAAATGTTGTTAATTATCGGGTCTCTTGCCATTCAACGGACCAAAGATTTGTATGACAGGTATTAACAGAATGGTTAAACTTAAAATTAAACATTCTGTCATCATTTATTCACTTTCATGTTTTTCCAACCCTGCATTTCTGTCTAAAGAATCAAAGCGAATGGTGACTGAGCCTGTGATCTAATTTCATTTTGTGTTAAAAAGACATATTGGTTTGGAACAACATGAGGGTAAAAAAGACAGAACTTTATTTTTAGGTGAACTGTCCCTTTAAGATAATGCCCTTTATCTGCCTTTATAGGGCCATCACTTCATTTGAGAGATGTAACATCCCATATGAATTGTATTGTCATTATTGTGATTGAAATGGAAGCCTGAATTGCCTGTTTGTGAGGTTTTTGATTTGGGTTGAATTAGTTAGGCTATTTGTTAATCACTGTACAATGAGTTTTATTGGTAGTCTGAAACCGAGATCAGTTTTGTAAAGTGTTTCTTAAAGGTGATAAAAGTGTTTCCTCCGTATATAGGTGTTATTTCCTCCAGAATTTTTTTCATTCTTAAAATGCTCTCTTTTTTACTAGTTATGCTTTTGTGCTGTAATTCGATGTTCTGATTCAGATAAAATATTACAAAGCTTATAAAACAAAAATGCGTATTTGTAAATCATGTGTTGGCTTTTGTATTCGTGACAATGAAAGTGAGGCAGACTACTTGGAGGTAATTATATGACCACTAGGGGTCAGGATTGCTTTACAGGTATGTTTTAGTGGACTGCAAGTATTTCCACCAGTGTCTTCCCTGTTAACTGACGACTGTCAGACCTGATCCAGGACATCGAGCTTGGTGCCATAACGAGCACGAGATTTCAGGCATTACCTGTCATATCAGAGGGAGTGTGAAATATGAAGCGAGCCACAGACCCGGACATTCAGATGTTAGAGCTCATTAATCACGTAGGCTTAAACCACACACACATCATAACATCAAATTCCTATTTTTTTTTTACTACCTTTCTTAGCTTCTTTATCTTTCTTTTGAAAGATTATAAATGTATGTTACATGATAAGCGCTAAATTACTTAATTTATATGCCTTAGAAGCGAATCGCTTGTTTACAGACTCTTTCTGTGGCTTCATTTGACACTTAAATCTGTCTATTTAAATAATATAGATACGAGTTTATTTTGTTAACCCTCTGGGGTCTGAGGGTGTTTTGGGGCCTGGAAAAGTTTTGACATGCCCTGACATTTGTGCTTTTTTCAGTTGCTTACAAATTATGATGTTCACGGATACTAGTACTAATTTATCGAAACAAAGAATACAATTACTTACCACATAGCAAACATAGTTTACCATACAGCAAATAAATCAAATGAAAGTAACATCTGTAAAATAGTGAATGCACACTTACTCTAAGATTCTGAATGGAGTTGAAAACTGAACGAGCGTCCCCTTACTGTGAGAGATGCAGGTGAAGGCAAGAGTGGTGTATTCGGTACTAAAATAATTTTATAAGCAATTGTAACCATTTTTTCCCACAGTACCTTAGTATAGTAATAAACATATTTTAGCTTTGCAAAGAGACAAATTTGGTCAGATCACATGCATATTGACTGTGTTGTATAGATGTTTTTCGACAGGCATGCGAAGGCTCTCAATAAATGTTCCCGCCGAAATATTTGGCGTGCGGGCATAATTATTGTCATCACGATTAACTTCTGTCACGCTGCAGCCTCGCAGTGTTCACACAGAACTCAGCAGGGCTTGTTTAGCAGTGGGCTGACAGAACCAGAACAATAAAAGCAGCTCACTCCTACTCAAATGCTACCCGTGAACCCTATTCAACACTCTGATAGTCGGTTGCATCAAAGTCTGAGAACGTGAGGCAGCTAATTGGAATTGCCGCAGTGAATCTGGGCAGATTTCTTGTGTTCTAAGTTAGATGACTGGCAAACAAACAACATCCGTGTGATCTTTTTATATGAAGGTAAAGGTCTTGTTAGGTATTTCCCAAGCTTACATACTGAAGCTAAAATATTGTAATACTACAAATTATTAGTATTCATTTATTCATTCAAGTGGTTATTGGAAGCAAATTAATTGGCTTGTTGGATGATCCATATAGACATATGAATGTACTATGTATATCAGGACTGTGCAGAATTGGTCATTCATTTCACTGAATAATTCTATTTGAACAGAAAAAGTGGGGGAAAAAAAATACACAGAACATAAGGTTTTTCCCAAAAGTATAATTTAAATTGGTGAGTCGCACTTGTCTGTTCTGATATTATCTTGTTCTGGTGTTTATGGTTTATGAGGACACAAATGTGTAAACCAAAATGTAAACCTAAAAGGTGTTTTATGAAATTTAAAAATTGCCAATAGTTTTCTGTGAGGGGTAGGTTTAGGTGTAGGGTTGGTGTAGGGCGATAGAACATATACAGAGTTCTGGCATGAAACTCTAGATGGCGCAGTCCGATAGGTCTAACTCAATCTGACCTAATGACATCATTATCACATGGCACAGCTGATTGGTTCTCTCCTGTATTGGTAGCCAATGAGCTCGCTGCTCAGCATTCAAATATATGACTAGGGCTTACCGTAGCAGTTGCAGCTTGCTTCAGAAACCCTCCACCTTCCCCAGCTCCACCTGTATAGATCTGCTACGAGGTGATTCATGTATGCTATGGGGGTTATTTCATGTATGTTATGTTTGCAGCAGCAATATTTCTTACATGCTCACAGCAGCATGTTGTGGATGTATTGGCCGCAGCAGCAGCGTAGCAGATCTATTCCGCCAAGACCAAATACATTAACATCATGTACATTACCATGCCAATCCCTCCGAGAGTTGTCATTAGAGAAATGGTTTGCACAGTATAAAAACCATTATGCCTATGGAGTGTCCCCATAAACTACATATGCAAGCAGGGCCGTTTCTAGGCATAGGCGAGCTAGGCGGTCGCCTAGGGCACCACCAGCTGAAGGGGTGCCAATGAGTGCACGTACTGGCACTTTTAGCAGGGTTGTGATAAAGAGTGGCACGGTCACCCTGAAATATGACTGCCGCCCCCACTGGATCCCCCAACATTATCTCCACAAATTAGTGTCGTTACTATGACAACCAATTTGAATGTGACAAGCAACTGGTGTCTGAAAAGAATTATATATATATAATATATAATATATATAGGGATTTCGCCTAGGGCGTCAAATTGGCTAGAAACGGCCCTGTATGCAAGAATGTGTGTGTGTATATACACGATTACACATATACATTTTCCATTTCAAAATTCCCTACTTTTACAGACTCAAATTTCCAGACTTCTCTGAAGATTTTTCCAACCATATTTTTTAGTGAAAAACAAATTTTAATATTTAATGATTGAAGGTTTAGATTCATGATTCTAAATTCACATTTTGATACTCTCACAAATGTTGTCACAGTACCAAAATTTCAGTAGTCTGTACCAATACCAGAAAACAACTGAACTGAAATATTAAATAATTTGTTAATTATTAATTTATTATTAGTCTGCACGTACACTCCAAAATCAATTTTGACATCAGATTTTTTTTAGTCCTATCTGTTGTTATGGTTATCATAACAAAAGATGGGATAATCATTGCAATTTTGGATTCAGTCCTGCATTTAAATATTTAGCATTCTTGCAAATATTCCAGTTATAATCAATGAAGATGTCCACATTTCACAGTGAATCTCTTATTTACATTTTGATTACATTTAGTTGGTTATAATAAAAATATTAATGAGCGTGCAGAACTTTAAAGCATGTTGAATAAAAAATCCTGTGTTTCGAGTGGTGTTGAGCAGATTCTCACTAACTTCGCGTTAACACCATTACAAACTACAAACAAGTCTCAATGAAGAAAACTTTGTTTTGAATAATTGTTTTAGTTACTTATAAGACATACACATTTTTTTACTTATAAAATTACATTGCAAAATTTTCCATCAGGAACAGAGCAAGCCTAAAAATATTTATAAGTGTAATAATTATTATAATTGATTATAAATCAGATTATAAATATTCTGCTCAACTGAAAATATATTAAAAGATTGTTTGATATGCCTCCACACTTTTTCATGAAAAATACTCTGTATGATACATTTATTTTTAGAAATTCTCAATTTTATATTTTAAAAAACGTAATAGGGGCAATAGTCTGGAAGCAAACCATACTTCCATACTTTTTCCATACTGTTTTCTTTTTTCTTTATTTTTCCAGACCTGGAAAATACTAAAATCAAATTCCATACTTTTCCACACTGCGTAGAAACCGTGATTGACAAAATGGTATAAATGCAACAAAAACATGAAAAAGAAAGAAATACACCATTAACAAACCAATTGCATGTTTTGTTTTTATTGAAAGTGGAATCTATTAAATGTAATCTACAAATAATTAAATACCAATTGTGCTAGCTTTGTGTGTTAATAGACAAACAATAAAATATCATTCTCCATTTTTTTATTACACACACATAAGTAATAAAATTCATTAAGTTAATTAAAAAATGTAAAATATAACCATTAGACACATCTTCATGGGTCTACCAGATCAATGCCATGTAGCAATGAAGAATCTGAATTTTGAAATGTTTCGAAACCAAACCAAGGTTTGAAACAATATGACAAAACAAACCTCATTTGCAGAAACCACATGACTTCGCTAACAATCTTTGAGCCACTGATTCGAAACAAGAGATTTGTAGATGTTTCAAAGCTTAATGAAGCAGTTTTTCAAAAGTTCCCATCACTAGCGACATGTGTAATTAGTTTAAAATGCAGGGATTAAGGGAATACAATGACACAATTAGTCCAAATATATAATTATTAATTGTTATATATTTATAATTATCATAATAATAATTTTCATTTTTTCTTGAAACTTATGTTGGACTAAGGAAATTCTCATTTGAATTGTCCAATTCTGATTTCTATTGCACACCAAGGGTGTCAAGACACTTCAATTTAAAATTCGCAAATTGAACTGAGACCTTCTTATGTTCAGAAGTCTGCTGTATGGTGTATATGTTTGCACCAGACTGTGTGTATCACACATTGTGGTGCAGCAGACTAGGATATTCCTACACAGTTCAGGCATGGGGTTGTTAATAATTAAATGACTCAGAAAGTGACATAGGGGTGTGTTACTATGGCAACATCCTCCCCCTGCAGAGGAGCCACTTGGTGGGGTAGTGTAAATGTCGACTCCGTCTAATGTCAGTGGGGTTTGTCAAGTACACCAAACTGCCCGTTTTTTGCAGGCTCCTTCACTTGTGTAAGGTCAGTCTGCTGGTTTTTATTCAGTAGGCAGGAGATAGTTCTGCGAGGCTTTTGAGTGTGAATTCAGTGATCCTGCTAAAGGCTGTTGAGATTTCTGACTCCCCTTCTGATATGTGGCCCATTGCCTATCGAAACCCCCAGTTTTGCGAGACAGTAAAGTGATTTCTCTAGGCACTCAGCACCTTTTACAATGCATGTCAGGAACTGCTCAAAGGAGTGTTATAATCTTCTTTCTTTCCTTCCTAGGTTGGCATGTTCACAACGTTTCCTAGGCTTAGGACTGATATCTTGATGTATTATACGGTGGTTTCTTGAGTAAATGGCTTGCATTTTTA